CGGGAAATCCGGGGTGGAAAGGAGGAGTGTGCTGTCACAGTATAGGAAGAGCAACTAGGGTCACATAACAATGTGTGTATATATATTTTTTATGAGAAACTCACTTGAACTGTAAACTTTCACTTAAAGCATTAAAAAAACAAAAAACAAAAGAAGGAACAAGACAATGGGCTAACAGCAGAACAGACCTTCAGTTGCTCACATGCAAGTTCAATTTGAAGCTGAAGAAAATTAAAACAAGTCCACAAGAGCCAAAGTTCGACCTTGAGTATATCCCCCCTGAATTTAGAGACTATTTCAAAAATAGAATTGACGCATTGAAGAGTACTGACCGAAGACCAGACAAGTTGTGGGATAACATCAAGGACATCATTTATGAAGAAAGAAAAAGGTCATTAAAAAGACAGGAAATAAAGAAAAGACCAAAATTGATGTCACAGGGTTTGAAACTGACTCTTAAATGTAGAGTAGCTAAAGTGAAAGGAAGAAATGATGAAGTAAAAGAGCTGAACAGAACATTTCAAAGGGCAGCTTGAGAAGACAAAGTATTATAATGAAATGTGTAAAGACCTGGAGTTAGAAAACCAAAAGAGAAGAACATGCTCAGCATTTCTCAAGCTGAAAGAACTGAAGAGAAAATTCAAGCCTCCAGTTGCAATCATGAAGCTTTCTATGGGCAAAATTTTGAACAACGTAGAAAGCAGCAAAAGAAGATGGAAGGAATAAAGAGAGTCACTGTATCAAAAAGAAATAGTTGATGTTCAACCATTTCAGGAGGCAGCATATGATTAAGAACCGATGGTACTGAAGGAAGAAGTCCAAGCTGGACTGAAGGTATTGGCGAAAAACAAGGCTCTAAGAATCGATGGAATACCAGTTGAGATGTTTCAACAAATGGATGCAATGCTGGGAATGCTCGCTTGTCTATGCCAAGAAATTTGGAAGATACCTACATGGCCAACTGACAGGAAGAGATCCACATTTGTGCCCATTCCAAAGAAAGATGATTCAATAGAACGAGTAAATTATCAAACAATATCATTAGTGTCACATGCAAGTAAAAATAAGCTGAAGATAATTCAAAAACAGTTGCAGCAGTACATTGACAGGACTGTCAGGAATTCAAGTCAGATTCAGAAGGGGATGTGGCAGGAGGGATATCATTGCTGATGTCAGATGGATCTTGATTGAAAGCAGAGAATACCAGAAAGATGTTTACCTGTGTTTTATTGACTATACAAAGGCATTCAATTGTGTGGATCATAACAAATTATGGATAACATTATGAAGAATGGGAATTCCTGAACACCTAATTGTGTTCATGAGGAATCTGTATATAGACCAACAGGCACGTGTTTGAACAGAACAAGGGGATACTGCATGGTTTAAAATCAGGAAAGGTGTGTGTCAGGGCTGTATCCTTTCACCATACTTATTCAATCTGTATGATGAGTACATAATCCGAGAAGCTGAACTTATATGAAGAAGACCGTGGCAGCAGGATTGAAGGAAGACTCATTAACAACCTGCGATATGCAGATGACACAACTTTGCTTGCTGAAAGTCAAGAGGACATGAAGCACTTACTGATGAAGATCAAAGACCACAGCCTTCACTATGAATTACCCCTCAACATAAAGAAAACAAAAATCCTCACAACAGTACCAATAAGCAACATCATAATAAATGGAGAAAAGACTGAAGTTGTCAAGGACTTCATTTTACTTGGATCCAGAATCACTGCCCATAGGAGAAGCAGTCAAGAATCAAATGACGTACTGCATTGGCAAATCTGCTGCAAAAGACCTCTTTAAATTGTTGAAAAGCAAAGAAGTTACTTTGAGGGTTAAGGTGTGCCTGACCTAAGCCATGGTATTTTCAATAGCTTCATATGCATGCGAAAGCTGGAGGATGAGTAAGGAAGACCAAAGAAGAATTGACACCTTTGAATTATAGTGTTGGTGAAGAATAATGAATATACCATGGACTGCCAGAAGAACAAACAAATCTGTCTTGGAAGTACAAGCAGAATGCTTCTTAGAAGGGAGGATGGCAAGACTCCATCTCACGTATTTTAGACATGTTATCAGGAGGGACCAGTCCCTAGAGAAGCACATCATGCTTGGTAGAGTAGAAGGTCAGCAAAAAAGAGCAAGACCCTCAACAAGATTGACTGACAGAATGGCTGAAACAACAGGCTCAAATACAGCAAGGATTGTGAGAATGGCATGGAATTGGCAGTGTTTTGTTTTGTTTTGCATAGGGTGCTAACAACAATCAGACAAGAAATAAAAAACTAACAAACAAACAAACAGAAATTGGCCACTCATTAATACAAGTCATTATAATCATAGTATTTTCCATATTTCCGTTCACTGTGAACAAATTCTCCATAAAAATTGAAGGAAGGAGACACAGTTGTAATTTGTGATAGGACCAACAGACATTGCTGACTTACTGTACTTGTGTGGTAAGGAAGGGTAAATACTAGAGAGTGAGGAAGACAGGCTTTAATTAACTTACTTCTTCAAAAATCAGGTAAATCAAATTGAATTTTGAAAGACAACAAGAAAAAACTTACAAGTAAGTAAACTAGAAAAATTTTGCATGTAAGATATAAGTGTATTTTTAAAGCAATTAAATTGTTTTCAAGTCAGCTAGTTTTTAGTTTTTTTTTTTTTTATAGAAATAAAACGTATTACTGCCCTAAGAATAAATAACTGATTTAGTAGGGAAATTTCAAGAAATGAACAGCTCAATTCCTTTCTGTATTAGAGGTGTGAAGTATTCGTAAATTTTGTGATTGTATTATTCACACATCAACTAAAGAATATCAATCCTGACATTTTTCAGAAACTTGCTAATCAGCAGCAGGTTTCAAAAAGCATTTTCCTATACTAACAGAATAATATTGAATTTTTTAAAGCTTGTTTTTAATCAAGGTCATGACTATATTTAGGAAAACAATTCAGGTTTGGAAAATAGTGTTTTCTTATTACACTAGTTTCATCATTATAGTCTCATTAATGCAATATACACCTTAAATTCTGAAAAGAAATTAAAGAGTAATGGCTATCATTCATAATTCAGTATTGAATTACAAACACAATTCATAATTCGGTATAAAATATAAAAACCCTCAGCCAACTACATTGGACAGAAAAAAAAATGGAGAAAATATGTCAAATAGATTTTAATTCTCCTGATGGAATTTTGAAAATCACTATATTTTTTGAAAGTCAAAATTCTCATTTTTATTTCACATATGTACACATGCAACCAACTATAAGATCACATTTAACTCTTGGAGTTGGGGTATATGATAATACTTTTCATATATTAATTTTCTAGGCAATACATTAAAACCATCAGAAATAAATAAAGTATCACACCAACTACTGTGAGAAGGCATCTAGTCATAGGACCTGGAAGCTGATTTTGATACGATAAAAGCATATATTTTTTATGATTTAGTAACAAAATCTGCTAGCAAAAAAAAACCCAAACCAAACATGTTGCCATTGAGTCCATTCCAACTCATAGTGACCCTAGAGAACACAGCAGAACTGTCCCATAGGGTTTCCAAGGAGAGGCTGGTGGATTCAAAACTGCCAACCTTTTGGTTAACACCTGAGCTCTTAACCGCTGCACCACCAGGGCTCCAGAATTCCCTACAGTAGGTGCTATTTTTGCCACCACAGCCTGGACCTGCTGTAGAGATCTCCTTTGCTCTGGGCCCTACTTAAAGCTAGAGCAGTACATTGAGTATGAACTATGCTACCGCTAGACCCCAAATAAGCCTACCTCGTTATCCTTCTTAATTGTGAAAAGTGCAAGAAACTCCAATTTATCCTTTAACTTAAAGGGGGCATCCCAGCATGCCCCACTTCATTAGAATCCTAAAAAACTTCATTGTTGTAGAGAACCACTGAATCTTCATAGGATTTTTCTCTCACGATCACTTCCTTGTTTATCTCTCATGTGCCTAGGCTAAGTGCTATAAAAAATTAATTTGATCACATTAACATATCTGATCTGAAGGATACCATGAATACAATGATCAAGTTTAAGAGGGATAAATAGGACTTTGGAAAAATGATGGCAAGTTGGTAGATGCAGAAATACTGACAGTATATCTGTGTGTTTCATATCAGTCTGACATAGAAATGAACATAAAAAAGAATTATTTCTTTAATTATATAATTATAGCATTTTTAGAAAATCTGTTTCATATCACATGTGTTTTACAGTTATATTAATTTATATTCTACCCCCTTGCAAAAAGGGTTTAAGGCAGTGCATTTATAGTTTGGTAGCTAATACAAATGCAGCTTAGGCTAATTTTATGCCCTTTAAGGTTCCAACACCTCCTCGTTATGATGCACTGAGGAGACTATACCATCATCTCTGTTGTATTCTTGTCCAAAATGTATAACCTGAGCTTAATCAGGAGGAAATATCAACAAACACAAAGTAAGGGATATTCTACAAAAATAATTGGTCAGTACTCTTTAAAAGCATCCAGCTCTTGAAACACAAAGAAAAACTGAGGAACTGTTCCAGGTTAAAGGACACTAAGGAAAAATGACAAGTGGATGCAACATGTGATCCGGGATTGGATCTCAGACCAAAAATAGGACATTATTAGAACAATTGGTAAAATTTGAATAAGGTTGATTAGATCATAGTATTGTATAAATGTTAATTTCCTAATTTTGGTAATTGGGCTGTGGTTATGTAAAATATTAATCTCTGGAGAATCTAGGCAAAGAGTACACGGGAACTCTTGTAAATATTCCGTGACCACCTTTATACGCTATACATGCTTGTAGGGCAAATGAAAGTGTTAAGAAATTAGTACCATACTTTCTTAAGTGTTATTTGAAAACACGTGTAACAAAATATTAGTAGGACAAATACCTTAGAAACTGGGTTAGATCCAAAATATTATACTAACAATATTTGAAGACCAATTTTTATATGTTGTATTTGGCACTTACTTCATCAAATGAAAAATCCTCTAAATCTATTTCTTCATACTCTTCTTCAGATTCTTCATTCTTAATAGCTTCTAGAGCTGTTGTCAGTTTTTTTCGCAAAAGAAAGCCCTTCCAAACTGCCTAAACAAAAATTTAAAGCATGTTATACAAGGTTATAGATCAAACCCCAAACCAGATTCTCTGTGTTATCCCATTAGGAAGATAAAACATCTTAGACCTTAGTTTAATGGCTCCATAATCTGTTATTTGAACTTTATGTGACACTTAAAACTGCAAGATGAATTAAATGACTGCAAGTGTCTAAAGTTCTGAATCTCAGGAGACTTTCCTCTTGGCAGAAAAGAATCTTTAAAACTCCCTCAACTGCACAAGCAGGTCAACCAATTAATTATCTCACAGTTCCTCCAGGACCCATTCAAAGCTAAGAAAGAGATACAAAGGAAAACCAATTTTTCTAATTTTTAAATGATTATTTGTGCAAAAATAAACTAAAGCACATTTAGGAAAACTTTAATATTTATAAATAGCAATATTAGTGGTAGTATCCTGGACCATAGTAATTAACAAATTTTATTTTAAAATAAACTAAGCACAGAACAATAGAATTGAAAAGTTTCAGATTCCTCAACAATCTTGGAGTGGGGAAGTCTTCCTAATTATAACTGTAAGTATAATTGAATACCTTTATATACTACTAAAGTGTGATCTCCAGGATATATCTTTAAGTATATAAAACAAGGTTGAAATAAGTGTGTATTGCATGCTACCATTTATCTATTAAGGATGGCATAAAAATATATAAAAACTTATATTTTATATGAACTTACATATAAATATTTAAGCATATATGTATACGTGTTTGCTTATTTATTTATTTATTTTAATTAATTTATTTTTTTTATTGTACTTCAGGTGAAGGCTTACAGAACAAATAGTTTCTCATGAAACAGAAGTACACATGTTGTTTTATAACATTGGTTAAC